AGGAAGAACAAGAAGAGGGAGAACAGGACAGAGCAGAGCCCCTGGCCTCCCCAAGCCAGACAATCCCCACCGAGGCACCCTCTCCACACTGAAGTCAGGGCATCAGAACCAGAGGAGGCAAAACCAGAGAGAACATAAACATCTCAGTAGATCTGAGAACATAGTGACTTTTGCTACAGCAGCTGGCCTGCCTCTCACACCCTCTTCTGGCTGAGGGGCCAGCACAAAATGAGTTTGCATCTTCCAGGGTTCAACAGCCACTTGACAAGGCAGTGTGACACCATCTCAGAACTGGAAGTGTGTGCAGAGGCTATACACGCACATGGGTGCACACGGGAGGCACACACACACACACACACACCATCAGAAACACAGAACCCTGAAAAAAAAGTGAAAGCTACACTCAGCTCAGAAGAGGTCTGGCCAGAAAAAAAGGATTCAAAGGAGGGGAGTGGAGAGAGGAGGGGAAGGCATGAGAGAGCATAAGACCAAATCAGAGCGCGGATCCCAGGTCAAGCCCTGGCAGGCCTGTGACACATGTATCTGCATTCACTCAACTTCTGCTGAGTCCTGTTAAGTGCCTACCTAGATATGTCTGGAAACCCCATCCCTTCCAGAAGCCTTTCCAGACTTCACTCAAGGAAGGGTCCACTTACCCCAGATGTGTTCTACCTAAATACCTCCCTGCCTTCACATTCTTTAGGTTTCTACCCTGAAAGAGGTTCACCCTGGCAAAACAATGCTGCAGACCCCTCTCTACCTACGCACCAGCCCCTCTGGATCTCCATGGATTCCTCCTCATGAGTGTAGCAGGCACCACTAGTCCTTAGAGCTTGAAGGCTCCTTGGAGTTCACCTGTCCAGTGCCCACTTCCATGCCCATCATAGAGATGGGAATCTGAGCCTAGAGAAACGAGTGTAGGCTGTCACGCTCAGTCATCAATCACCATGAGAGGTGACTAAGGGCCTGCTCACAAGTGGCCCCTGGGCCTCAATTCCTCACTTGTTAAATGGCATCATCAGACTGCCTTGCCTGCCCCAGGGTACAGTTTGAGCTCAGGTACAGCAGGCAGGCCTAGGTTCAGATTCTAACTCGGAAGCCTTGCTAGACACATGATCAAGTTTAAATGACTTAACCTCTTTGAGATTTGATTCCACATCCCTAAAAAGCTGGTAACAATCCCTACCCCACAGAACTGCTGTAAGAATAAAATAACATACAGAGAGGACTTAAAGCCCTTAGCACTCAAACAGTGGTAAAGATTATTACTACTTTTGTTATTATTGCCATGGGCATGGGGAAAAGTCCTCCTGGGATCCTCTGCACTGAGCCTCCTCTGTCAGGCTATACATCTATACATCTAGGTCCCTGGGAACAGTACTCTTTCTCTGACCCCCTTTGCTCCTAGGACCCCACCAGCACCCAAGCCCCAAAGCAGCAAATCACAATTCAGCTCCATCTCTGTGTCTGGCTCATCCCTGGTGGTCCTCTCTCCCTTCCTCCTCCCAGTGGGCTCAAGCCCCTACTGCCCCTGCTGCCACCACATCCCCCAGTACAGGGCCATCCCCGTAAGTACACATTCCAGTGTCTCCCCCATGGGAGGCCCAGTTCCTAGGAGCCTACACTGATTTAGGGTGACCTGGGAGCCCTGCCTCCCAGAGGTAGTATCTCTCCCTGCTCCAAGGCTCCCAACAAAAGATGTTTCTCAAACCCCACTCCCAGCGGGTTCCCTCCAACATACCCTCCCTGAGCCTCAGGAAGGCCAAAGGCCCAAAGGCATTAGGGGTGTGGAGGAGGCATTCATTCTCTGGAAAGAGAACGAGGAAGAATGGGCGCAGCTGGCTGGGAGCACTGGTCAGAACTGGAGGGTGTAAGAGGGACTCCTGAAAGGCACGAGTGTGCTGAGGACCAGGCCTCTCGAAGAGTAAGAACTCTCAGCAATGGTTCCAACTGGGCTGCAAGGACAACTAGTCTGGGATACCCAGGTCAGGCCTGCCCTCTCCCCAGCTCCCCAGATGAATCCTCTGCCTTGCTGTGGGGACCCTGAGCACATCTTATCAGGCTCCAGAATGAGGGGTAAAGACTGTGTCTGCCTCCAGAGTGGCAGAAAGAGCCAGTTCTGGAGGGAGACAGCATCTCAGCCCCAAAATTTGCCAAATGCATGTCTGTGGGCACAGGACTTCTTTCTGGGCCTCAGTTTACCCATCTATACAATGGAGCTAATGATACCCTACCTCATAGCACTGCATCCATTACAGCCCCACCCCCCAAACCTGAAAACTCAATGTGCCTATCTGGAATCTCTTACTGCAGGGGTGGCAGAACTGGGGTTGGCAGGCAAGGGTTACATAAAGCACACGTGGCCCTCTCCCAGATGTCTGATCCATTCTGAGCCAACGAGACCAAAAGAACTTTCTCAAAGATCACATGGACCGGTTCCCACCCTCTTTGCCCTCCTCCCCCAGGCCCTGACTATGCCTTCCCTCTTTTGCCAGTGGACCTCCCTGTCATTCCTGCCCTGGGGGTGTAGGAAAAGGACAGCGATGGAAGTGGCCACCCACTCAGAGGATAAGCTCATGGGCAGTGACATCATCCTGCCTGCCCTTCTTCCTCCTCACCTGACCCCGTGACTCAGGGCCACGGGTTCAGGCTCTGTTAATCTCAGAGGCTGCTTGGATTTCGGTCATTTTTCTTCACATAGCACAAGCCCTGTATGTCCAACCAAGAAGCAGCCTGCAATAAGCCAGACACTTGTTCTACAACACTTTCTAGGAGTCTCTTTGGGTGCTGTGGAATCCCAGCTTACGGCTCTATGATCACACTCGGTCTCTGACCCCAAACAGTATTGCTCAGCTCAGCATCAAACCCAAATCCTACTCCAAAGAATGAAGATTGACGACTCCATAGAAGGTTACAGTTTAAGGATAGAGGAATTGCCACCGGAACTTTCAGAAGTCCACCTCAGCAGAATAAGGACACAGGCTCTACAGAAGGGACAACACTTCTATAACTGTCCTTTCCACAAACATTCAAGCACCTGACCCAGCTATCAGTCATCTGGGTATCTCAGACATTCAGCCAACCTGCTTCCATTGGGTGCCCAGAGAGAGGTGCAGAGGGCTGAGGACAGGAAGGAAAAGCGGTCCTCAAATCCCAGAACCCCTTCTCATCCTTGGGCTTGCTTTAACGTAGGCTTCCCATCTCTAACAAGCTGGATTGCCTGATTTCTTGGAACACAGGAGTCTGGAATGAATTGGAAAGCTCACTGAAAGCAGGCAGGAGAAACCACCAGTGATGTCATTGAAGAGAGAAAAGAATTCCAAAGTCAGTCATGGGACCCATACAAGCATCACTGAAGCCACTTAGTGCAAAGCTCACTCCCTCAAGAGTCCCTTTGCTATACAAAAGTCCTTAGTGCCAAAACTGTGATATGTGTAATACAGCGGAGAAAGATTTCCATGCTTAATGGTTAACGTAAGTGTTAATGCTTAATCTATACTCGCCCAAAATATTCCCATTTCCTAAAGAGCTGGAAATATGAGCCACCACTCACACCCACAGCCTCAGAGCCCTGCCACTCAGATCAGCCCAACCCATTGGACGTGTTTAGAGTTAAAATTCAAGTTTAGACTTCAATTTCTCTTAGCCTCCAAAAGCACCCACCTGTGTGCAGGGCCCCAAACTACAAGGAAGGCTGCACAGCATCAGATTTCCTAGGGACTTCTGGGAGGCAAGAGGGAGTCAGAGAGGAGGCTGAACTAAATAAAGAACTCTCTTAAAAACAGAACAGCTTCATTACTTTCTAACATAGAAGCTAACTGCTAGAGACACACATGTAAGAAAAGGACCTAGGGCCTTCATTTAATGATGAAATCAGACTCATTTACAATTATCCACCTCCAATTTGAAGGTAAATAGTTTTTCTCAATTAAGTCAAACAAACCCTCCCAACTCCCCAATGGTTTTTGCCTTCCTATTTGCTTAACGTTTTCCTCGATGATATATCCCATATCTGAGTCATCCATCACGCATTTCTCATTAGGGCAGGTTTGGCTGAGAAAGAAATCCCCTTTTCTGGCATTTCACTGCCCTAGGCCCCCAAACCTGCCAATTCACTAGCTAAGCAGCAATAGAGGACCCGGGACACTGGGATTCAATCCAATCCCCTCCCCTCTAGTGTGTCCCCACCCTGGGTCCCTACCTTTCCTCCCCTCTCCATCCTACCCCACCCACCATCTCCCTGAGACTTCCCAAGCCCAAATGGCCCCACCCCTGCTCCCTCGTGCTCTGCCTCCCACCCTCCAACAACTATGCATCCCTTCACCCAGGCCAGCTGTCCCTGCCTGTCCTTCTCAGAATCTGTCCCCTCGTGCCCACTGCTGCCCGTGGAAGCCCTCCAGTCACCCACTCCTTCATCCTTCTGGGCCAGGCAGAATGGACCCCCCTCCCCGATCCAGCCCCTCGCCCTCCTCTCCCTGGCACCTCTCCCTCCTCAGAACTAGTGGTCAGGTCAGGGTGTTTTCCTCTGCAGGGACTCCGCGAGACTCTACTTCCCTCCTAGCTCCAGCTAGCGGCTTCGTGAAGCTTTCCAGAATCATCAACACAATGACAGATCTGCCTCTATTCCCCCTGCACACCCAGGGCCTCCGCGATCACAGCTACCCGCCCAGCCTCCTCCAGCGGCTTCCCGGGAGAGGGCAGGTCCCACACTGCCCCGGGCCCCGCCGGCCAGGGAGGGGAGGCAAGGTTGAGGACAGGGCTGGACTCTGGTAGCCCCCTGCCGCCTCCGGGACCCAGAGCCGGGGTCCACCGTGCTCCCCGCGCGGAGGCCAGCCCGGGCCCAGGGAGAGGGCTGGGGTGGGGGCGCCCTGCGAGAGAGGGGGCTCACCGCCCGCTCTAGCAGCCCTGCAGCAGGCACGCTGCCCGGCAGCCCGGGGCAGGGCTCGGCTGCAAACAAAGGCCGCCCGGACGCGCGCCGAGCCCGCCACGCAAGCACTCACCGCGCCGCGCCTGACTCCCGGGACTCGGGGACGCGGCGGAGCGCTGCCGAGTCGCCGCCGCCGCCGCCGCCGCCGCCGCCGCGAGGCCGGGCGCGAAAGGGGTCCGGGGGCGGCCCCGGGAGTCCGAGGGGCGGGGCGGGCTGGAGGAAGCTGCAGGCCCGGAAAGGCGGCCCGGGTGCGCCCCAGAGGCGGGATTGGCCCCGCGGCGAAGGTTTGGGGCAGAGGCCTGAGCCCGCCCGCTGGGCAGGGCACCCGGCCGAGACCCGCCCCTGACCCGGGTCCAGACCCACGCGGGGGCCCTAGTAAAGGGGCGCTGGTCTGATCTCTGCCCGTCTCCCACCCTGTCCCACCCTCCCAAGATCCGAAGTTTATTTTCTGCTAGGGGGACAGGTGAATGGTCACTGACCGCCCCAGCTCCTCCTCCAGGCCGCTGGCAGCAGAGCCGGAGCTCGGATCTGGCTGTCTGACCCCCAGTCCAGTGTTCTCCGCCACCAGGCTGGTACCGTGGCCTGGAAAGGGTTAATTCGACTGTGAGGCATTGAGAGCTGCTGGGAGCTCTCTATAAATACAGTGTGTCGTGGGCGCCTGAGCCAACCGCAGGGTAATTTCCACCTAGCTGGTTTTCCCCTTTTCCTTCCGCCCCCGGCCACCCGGCCAGCCCTGCCCCCAGCCCCACGCCAGGCTAATGGCTACCCCAGGCCCCCAAAGGGGGAGCAGCTCTGACACCGCCCCAACCCCCTCCTCATGACCTGGGGCTCTGTCTTTATAGGAACCAGTTCCAGCCTGGGAGGAGATGGGGGGATCAGGCTTGAACCTCCAGCCTGGGGAGAGATGGGGATCAGGCCTCTGCCTTGGCACATCCGGCCCCTGCACCCATTCTCTGACCTGTTCTCCATTAGTTACAGACAGCAACAGCTGAAGTGTAGCAGTCCTCTGTGGGCCAGGGTAGAGACTAAGAGCTTTCCATGTGGGGCCTCTTTAAATCCTCACAACAGCTGGACCATGTAGATAATATTATCCGCATTTTACAGGTGAGAAAACTGAGGCTCAGAGAGATAAAGGGACTCCAATTTGTCTTATGGCCAGACCCACCACCAAGTGTCAGCAGCAATATGAGAGAGGGCTTAGGAAATATGCATGAATACATGCTCACCTCTGTGTGTCAGCCACTGTTTTAAGCTCTTTACCATTTTATCTCATTTCATCTTTCCAGCAATGCAATGAGGTAATGCTATTATTATCCTCATTTTCACAAATAAGGAAATTAAGACACAAGGAGATAGGTAACTTACTTAAGGATATCCAACCTTCAAGTGGAGAAACGAGGATTTGCCCTCTTGCATGTAAGTGCTGAATTCAAACTTAATTATAGTGTGTTTGTGTGTGGCAGTGAGGCATGGGTGTCTGTATTTGTGAACACCTGTGAGTAACTCTCTGCATCTAAGTGCACATGTGTTTCTGAATGTAAGTTTGATAATGGCTGTGTCTGTGTGACTGCTCCTAGGGATGGGGCAGAGAGTGGAGGGATCAAGGCCAGGCCATCTGGTCCAGAGTTCTTGGAGGTCATCAGCCTCCCCTCCAATCCACACTGCTTCTCTCTGCTCTGTCCAGCCCTGTCCAGCCTGGGCCTGGCCTCACAGTTCTCAGTATGAGTAGCCCCGAATAGGCCTCAAGACCTGGAGGAGAAGCATCCCAGGGAGAGGTGCCCCTGAGCTGAGAGATCCAGGAGCCCCACAGCAGGACTTAGAACTAATCCAGAGGAATTTGCTTTCCTTTCCTCCACCAGGAGTCAGTCCTGTGCTTTGTGCCCCAAGGTGGTGACACAGGTCCTGTCCCAGAGGACTTACAGTCTGGCAGGGAAGGCACAATTCAGCCGTGATGGACAGTGAAGGAACAGCACAGGGTAGTTTATAGCATAAACTGTATAGTATATAGTTTATGGCAGAGGCTGGGGGAAGACTTTTATCATAATTGCTAGAGAGATCAAGTCAGGAGGGAAGGAAATAAGTACTGGCTGTCATTCCTGGAAGCAGTGGCTTAATAGGGTGCTGATACCCCCCAGAAAGGGCAAACACTGTGGGCAGGGGATAGGCAGAGTGTCTGTACGACAGGCTCAGCTGCGACTCAGACATTTGGCCCTGGACACAAACAGCTAGACCATCCCAGCACACAGGAATCTCCTCAGGTCAGGGAATGTTTGTTCTATGCCTAGTTGAAAATACAGTCTTCCTCAGACTCCCTTTGTAGCTAGAGGCAGTCACATGATCTAATGTGGCCAATGAGATGGAAGTGAAATTCACTGGGTGGGGCTTCAGGGAAAGCCCTTTGTTAAAGGAGCTTGTTGACACTATCTAAAACATCATGGTGGTTCCTCAAAAAACTAAAGATAGAGCTACCATAGGATCCAACAATTCTACTTCTGGGTGTATCCAAAAGAATTGAAATTAGTGTCTCAGAGATATTTGTACATCCATATTCATAGCAGCATTATTCACAATAGCCAAAAGGTGGAAGCAATGCAAGTGTCCATCAATAAAATGGAATATTATTCAGCCTTAAAAAGGAAGGAAATTCTGACACATGATAGAACGTGGATGAACCTTGAGGACATTATGCTAAGTGAAAAAAGCCAACCACAGAAAGACAAATATTGTATGATTCCACTTATATGAGGTACTAATGTAGTCAAATTCATGGAGACAGAAAGTAGAATGGTGGTTGCCAGGGACTGGGAGAGGGAGAATGGGGAGTTATTGTTTAACGGGTACAGAGTTTCAGTTTTGCTGAAAAGAGACTGGAGACTGATTGCACAACAATGTGAATGCACTTACTACTGAACTATACACTTAAAAGTGGCGAAGATAAATTTTATGTTGTGTTTATTTTTCCGCAATTAAAATAATAGAAAAGAGCAGGCTTAGCCGGCATGAGCCTTGCCTTTTGCCTTTCACTCCCTTTTCTCTTTGTGCCTGAAGTGCAGACACAAAACCAGACAGTAAAGCAGCCATCTTGCAACCATTAGGACAAAAGCTAAGTAAGGGTGGCAGGGGAGAAAGTCAGATGGAGCCTGGTTCCTGAAGGCATTGCGGAGCTGCCACCCTGGCCCCGGATTGCTTCCAGCCCTTGGCCTGTCCCTCGAATTGCCATTGCTCACTCAGGATTGATGAGGCAGGAATGGTGACCCTTCATAGTCTTGTCCTCCCCAGGCTACCTATAAGGAACCTCAGAACACCATTCTGGCAAAAGGAAGGGGTGTTCTGACCCTCTTATTACTCTCCCCAGGACAGAAATTCTGAGTTCATGGTGAAATTCAAAGACAATTTCCTTTGGCCTCCTTTGACATACAAAAGGACAAGTGTCTCCCTCATCTGTTTGAATACTCTTAAATCCAGCAACTGGATTCCTTAACCTAGCTTTAAAGTGGGGGCTATACAGTTGTTTTTGACTCTATAGAGCAGCTAAGCAGTCCATCTTTCAGAAAGCAGCTTAGAGACATTGACATGCCTCACCTAAGGCCAATACTCAAAGTATTTCATGTCTGTAAGAAAGAAAAATCAATTCTTGGTAGCACTGGGGGTTTAAGGCCCAATCTGAGCGTTTTTTTCCAAGGATCCCTGTGACACCAATATCTTGGCATTGGCCTACCTCCACTCAGGCTGGTTGCTGCAGATCAACTCCTGAGTTGTCTGCATCTTCAGGCCTCAAGTCCTTAATGTCTTGGCAAAGGCCACATCCCCCAACCTGCCCCGCTCACTCATTTAGGGCTCCCAGGGCTGCCGATCTGGATCCAGCCAGCCCGCCCAGGCTGTCTATGTCAACTCCGTTTCCCTGAATGAAGGGATCCAGTGTAGAGTTGAATATGGTGTAGAGTGACTACTGCAGGTTCCTGCTAGAAAGTTTCTTATTTCTGGCACTTGAGTGTTGGAGTAGACTTCAGGTGTCTAGATCCAAATACTTCCAGCTGGAAGCTTCTGGCTGGCAAAATAAAATAATAACATTTATTATTAATGTTATTATTATTAATATTAATTAATATTAATTAATAAATGTTATTAATATTAACATTTATTAATAATAACATTTATTATTAAATGATTATTAAAATAAGAATCCTCCTGGGAGGATCATCTGGGAACACTTCACCCCCCAACACACACACACACACACACACTCTCTCTCTCTCTCTCTCTCTCCAAAATAACAAAACACCCCCTAACCCCTAATCAGGCTTGTATAACTAGCTACCTCTATCCGACCCACCATCCCTTCTTCATTATCTGTCCCAGTTGGAGCCATTCCGCCCCCTCCCCCTTGCTTCCCCCTTCTCCATAACCCAGGTTTACAATGCTCCCAGTCCTAGGAATCCATCTCAGAGCCTGTATCCTGCTGCTGGAGGGTCAGGGTCGTCCTCCCAATAGGAGGGTTAGGCCAGAATTAAAGAACAAAACAAGAACATAAAAACTGTACCATAATGCCAAGGGAAATCTGTCATCACAATGGGAGTTGGGTTTTTTCTAATGACTTCTAATCACATGAAAGTAGTTGAGTTATTAGCACTTGCAGGGCCCTGAGAGCAAGCACCTCCTTCAAGTTTGCATCATAGATGTCTCATTTACGGCACCCTCACCCTAGTCCTGCTCTTAGGTTTGGCCTATGACAGATTCAGAGAAGAGAGCACATAACAGGATGACAAAGAGTTCCAGCTAGAAGAATCAGGCACGGAGAACAAGGGGTCCAGCATCTGAAGTCGGCAGTGGAGATCCTTGTGAGGAAGACAGTGGATAAACCTCTTGAAATCCAGAAATCCCAATCTCAATCCAGGTGCTAAAGCTTAAGTACTAATATTGCTGTTTTCAGTCACATGTTCTCAGTATGGTCATTTGGTTTTAGTTGGGCTTGAGAAAGTGTGCCTGGGTGTCTTCAGGACATCTTACCATAGCCTCAATCCTGGTAGGGACACAAGGGAAGGCTTCACTGCCCCAGTGCTGAGAACAATTTATTCAGTCCTCCCTTATGGGTCATTCTTAACCTGCCAGTTCTTTATGTCAATCTCTAATTTCTGGGGCAGGACCACCGATTGCCAGTCCTGGCCCCCTTTCCCTCCCTGTCTTCTCTCAGGCCACTGTCCCTCCCTTTGGAAGAAATACAATGTGTGATGGAAGTGAGCTCTCTCGGACCATGTCTTGGCCACTGCCAGGTCTCCACTTGGACCCCTGCTGCTGGGGAAGATGATCCGAGACAAGTTGTGTGAGCTGCAGCATCTCCAGTCAGTGATCAAAGGCTCAGTCC